GCTTTTGTACCCAGCAGTGGTCGTAGATCACTAAGATTTCAAAACTTTAACGGGAGGTAGGGTGCCTAAAGGTTGAACCGAGGACCGGGAGGTATTGCATCATAGTAACGCAATTGTTCCTTACGCAGTTTATAAAAAGAAACCATAAATCATTATGTGACATATTATGTGACAATATTACAAAGTCAATTTACATGTACAAATGTGACTGTATTCATTCCACCCTCTGTGTTTCGTTCTGAAGCTGAAAAACCGACAGGTTTTGACCCACGTAAATAAACCTAGGCACCTTCAATGCAATGTTTTAACCCAATTTTAGCTCGTTTTGCACATGAAAATGAAAAATCCCGAAAAAAGCGCCATACTCGAGCTCTAAGCAGAAACGAATCGAGTTCTTTGATGCGAATTTCATAGGGGACAATTGCGCGATGACCAAGTTGGGCGTTTATTTCCTCCTGAACTTCTTCCAAATACGGCTTTTCATTTGGTGATGCAAACGACAGGGCGTTACCTTTACTCCATCCTCTTGCTGTCCTAAAACCAAGAAAATTATGCATTCTGCATAAATAAAACTCACACACTGAAAAGAAATCTGCTTTTCCGTTACGTGTATAAATCGTTTCTTCAAAACCCAGTAGAGTACTACTTGGAACAGTAGCAAGTGGCTTTGCTTCCGTGTTAAAAGATGAAGGTCTGGTTACGCTAGTGAGAAAGCCAATCCCTCTATTATTTGTTAATTCGTTTCGATGGTAAATTGGTACTAAAATATACGAAGAAGACAAATCCCTCATCAACTTGTTCACAAAGCAACAGCTGAAAGAGGAAGATATCGGGTGCTTTCATGTGTAAATCTTGTTAATTACGCTAATTTCGATTACCTCCGCCTCCCATAGAAAATGAATACTGAGGAAACTTTTAAAAAAATATCATTATTATACATTAAATGATTCATATCAGATTATTTGCGCAATAATGCAATTTCCTACAATTACTCTATCAAAATATTTGAAAAATTCAGAAAAAAACTTATTCGTACTCCGAATAAACTTATATACTGTTCTCAAATAACAATTACCTGCCAACGCGATGTATATATGAGGTTACAGATGTTGGAAAATCGAAATTTATAACATTTGCAACATGATGAAAGTCAATGCCACGAGCAACCCCTGATTCTTTATCCATATATTTCCGTTTCTTCCTCAGCAATTTTTTCTTGCATTCGAATGTCTGAACAGAAAGTAGTACGGATCGAAATCACTGCATTTTTATGACCATTCAGTTACTCCATATCGACATTATTATTGTTATCGTCATTATCATTATTTTTATTATTTCTATGCGTTTTGTGCTGTGTAACAGCAGTACGAAACGCATATTGTCACGGAGGTGTCTGTGTGTGTTTCCACAGCAACTTGTCAGCAACTTTCAACTCGGGAATCACAAAAGCTAGGAAGCTGAAAATTTAAGGGAACGTTTCCTACCCACGTGTGACCCCGCAAATTTAAATTCAGCTTCCCCGTACCCGCGGGTAACACATACGGCCCCGTGAAAGTTTTTTACGGGTAAGTTAAAATCTCGGGAACCACGGAGTCCAGGAGGCCGAAATTTTAAGGTAATGACCCCTTGCCCACGCTCAACCTTGCCCATTCAAATTTAGCCTTTCCTTACCCGCGGGTAACATGTACGGCCTCATGCAAGTTTTTCACGGGTAAGTTAATATCTCGGGAACCACGGAGTCTAGGAGACTGAAATTTTAGGATAATGACTCCTGCCCACGCTCATCCCTGCCCATTGAAATTCAGCGTTCCTGCGCTCTTGAGCATCACCTACGACCTCGTGAAAATTTTGGCGGTTAAATTATTAACTCGGGGATCACGGAAAGATATCCATCCTTCAAGGTCTCGAATTCAGCTTTCATGCACTGGTGCGTGAAATTTTTAACTGTTTTTCAACGTTTGAACTATTTTTACATGGACTAAACCACAAAGCAGTGAAAATCATTAATAAGCAACCGTTCGATGGGCTGAATTGCACAAAACGCATGATCGCACCGGCTAGTATGGTGCGCGTTGCTATTTATTATTGTCACTATCACTATTATTATAATTACTATTATTACTATTATTCTTACATCTCTGTCACCTATAACTATGGTCAGTGGTCAGAAATCTTGACCTATATAGCATGCCTGGAAACCGCTTTTTACTTAAAACCCGTCCGATACTTATTTGCACAAGGAAAAAATAATTGCCCAACGCACGGGCTTCCCGTGCGAAGATGCGTTTTTTGCATAGTTCCTCGCGGTTTTTGTCGCTACCGGCATTGGTTTTTTGGCAAATCCTTCTAGCTAAACAAATTAAGACTGGCCGCCAAAACTGGCAGGAAACATCCCCTTAAAATTTCAGCTCTCTAGCTTTCTTGGCTCTTGAGTTAGCAATTTACTGGAAAAAATTTTTCACGAGCCCGCACTTGGGTACCACGTATACCCGATTTCTGGGTTTGAGCTCGTTGAGACTTACTTGGACGGGGAACATCCTCCTAGAACTACAGTCTTTTAGCTTTACAGGTTCTCCAGTTATGGGCTTACCTGAGAAGAACTTTGGTGAAGCCGTGCGTAGGTACCACGCATAGCCGTAGGCTGGGTTTGTCTCGTTGAGACTAATGTGGACGAGAAACACCCTCTTAATGTTACAATCTTCTAGCATCTCAATCTCCGAGTTATGAATTTGCGCGGGAAAAGTTTTGGCGGACCCATACGCGGGTACCACGCTTACCCGGGGGTTGGTTTTGAACTCATTAGCATATACTTGGAAGGGGAACATTCCCTCAAAATTTCAGCTTCCTTGCTTTTCTGGTTCGCAAGTTATCAACTTACTCTAAAAAAATTTTGCGCGGGTATCACGCGGGTAGGACCGCCCATTTTGGAGATGGGGGCCCGTACGTGCATGTAAATTATGTCCCCAAAGCTTCAGCCCTGTAGCTTTTGCTGGTCTCGAGATGAAAAACCGTACACAGGAACATACAGACACACACACACACACACACAGACAACCTCTCGTCAGTGTGCGTTTTCTGCATTGTATAGCTGCAAAAAACGCGTAAAAACATGCAGCACGATTGTGGTACCAAATGCTTCCATCCTGTTTTTCAACGAACGTCAAAAAAAAATAACCACTACATTTGCTAAGAGTGTACAGTTTATAGCCAGAAACCTAATAATCACACTAAAAACATTTGCGTCTCCTAATTCAGCCAAACACAAAAATGCCCGGAGATTCACCAAAAAAAAATTCAAAAAATTTTTTAAAAAAAGATCGAATAAGCAAATTATAAAAGTATGCAAACTTTTTGCTCATCTCCTTCATTTTTGATCATTCCGTGACTTTGCCCCGAAACATCATTTATATCGGAAGCAATTACATACGAATAGCGCCCCTCGTTGAATTCGTCCACTACATGACAACGACTGTTCACAGGCATCTGGGCATTGAGAATGCAAGAACGAATACCGAATGCTTGCAGGAACAATCCAAGCCTGCAATCATCATTAGTGCTAATATTCGGGGACTGCAGGAAAAAAAATATTTAGGTCCATATATAATGGAAACACTCCTCCCCCCCCCCCGGCTCCGAAATATAGTCGCATTTTCGTATTGCACTGGCTAGGGCTAATTATTAAATTTCTTACTAAAATTAAAAGAATTAAAGAGAATAAAG